ATTTTTGGTTCTAATAAAGAATAAAATGTTGTTTCTGGTTTTACTCATAAATTGATGATGTATAACTGCAACTACACTAGGGAAGCTGTATCTGTAGAAATAGCATTGGGGCTATTAAAGTTGGTTGGGTTTTATGTTAAGGGAACTTCCACACAATAGCTGTGGTTCTGAAACATCTCAAAATCATGATGCTTCTGGCTAAAGAGAGCCATGATTTAAATTCACAAAGTCTGCAAGGAAGTCTGTTTTTTAAAAAGACCTTTTTTATTGTGTTGTGTGAAACAGCCCTCTGTTCACTTTTGTTTTGCAATATTAAATGTGTTAGCATTGCTTGGCTTCAAGTTCTAAAAAAAATATTTCATAAGTGTGGTATGTTTAGACTGTGTTGGAATAAAGGAAAGTAGGAATGCCAGTGGCCACAGCTCCCAAAGTAGATTAAATTCTGCAGTAGAGTGGAAAAAACCAAAGATGATGCTAAATTACTATTGTTTGGTAGTATAGCAGTATCACAAATCAATGGCAGATCCTGTGCTGAAATGAAAGACAGAACTTCACTGGGTTTTTCGCCTCTATTTGATTTGTATCCCACAGGGTTCCCATTGCCACAAAGTCCTTAAACCTGCAGGAACATCTTTCAATCAGTTGTTTATCTACCATATGCATATTTATTTAAAGGACTGGTCTTCTCAATTACTGAGAACAAATTAATTTGGTGGTTGTAGTCATGTAGTTAATTCTTTTCCAAAGTCTTTTCCTAAGGTAGCTGTATCAGACACCTCCCAGTCCTTGCCTGCAGGAGCAATTTTCTCTGTTTGCTGTCTGCAGTCCTGAGTCACCATAAAAAGCCTGACAAATGCCATTGTTCTTCTGTTGGCATGAACAACAGCGAAATCAAGGTTCACTTCTCAGTACTGGTAACACCTGAGAATTTACTCTCTTCCCCTTGGTAACCCCCCAGTTCCTCCCTCACTCACCCCCTCACCTTCCCCAGTGCCAGGCACAGATGTTTAGCCCCATCTCAGAAAAGGTGAGACAGCACCATGACAAAGAGAGGCAAAATTGCAGGCTACAGTAGGGTTGTTGACAGAGCAATTTATGGGTAGCTCAAGGATTCAGGAGTAAAGCATGGACATGAAGAGTTGGAAAATCGGGAAGAAATTGGATGTCAAGCCCAGAGCTGGCTGAAAACATCCCTACCTGAATACTAAGAAAATGTTCAAAATATGTTATTTTCAGGAAGATATGATTTAGCACTGATGAAAAATGTGCATGATTATTAATAATCCCCAAATGGCTAACAAGGGTAGGCTTATACAGTTCTGTCCTGTCTTCTCCATCTGCCTCAGTAACTCAGGAATCAAACAGTGCCTTTTTCAGTTCTTTAAGATGTAGTCTTGGCATTAGGCTAGCATTAAAAAAAACTCACTGTAACATTTAGTTTTACTCACAATGACAAAGAAGTGAATGCAAGTACCTTACTCACTGAGATTCTAAATTGACTCCACATCAAGATGTCTCTCAGCAAAACCCTCTGCAACAACAAAAGGCCTACAGAGACTGGTGCTGGAGCAGCTCATATGTGAACCTCTATTGCAAA